CTGCATACTATAAAGTGAAATTTATCCTACGTCAGCACAATTACCACCGCTTTTTTTCAAATTTGAATATTTCCTAACGTTGAGGCGCGTTCTTGATGTATAAATACTGTCTCATAAGTAATAAACCTTATGTAACACTGTTGCTTCCTAATGTCTGACCCTAGTACTTCTACTGCCTCGACTTTGCATACCATTCTTTCTCCTGATAAAAACTTGAGCACTTAGTTCTTTATCATTATGTCTATGAGTTCCGTAATCGATCAACTGAATTCAAAACAGGAACTTATGTCAAAAGAAATCGTGTTAGTTCGTCCCATGGCTAGAACTAACTGGTTAGTTCGTCCTATGGTTACACTAACTGGCTAAATCTTATAATGTACGATTATATCTGCGGGTTCTGTTTCAGGTAATTAACATGCCGCTGCCTTTTGGTGTGACATATGATCAATACCTTCATAACACAAATCTGAGGAGAAGGCACGAAGTGACATTCTCAATATGGTTGGTAAGAGACGATTATTCACACAGTTTATCTCTTTCGAAGCTTCTAACCTATATTACTTTCCAAACCTTGTGCATGGATGCTCCACTCGAGTTGTGAGCCCTTTTTGAACAGGAGTTTGCTGAAACCCTAGCATGTATAAATGTATATAGCGAAATTCTTTCCTACAAAACCTCACCAATCTCACTGGCTTTTTTGATCCTCTAACTCTATTACGCTCAAATTGTGAAATGTGTACGTGATTTGCGGATCTCTTCCACAACCGAAAAAAGAAGGAAGCGAAGAAATCAGAACATGTTTGAGAATATAGTTCAGAAAAACGCAGCAGAATACTAATTTATGTTGCTAGTGAGAATACGAGACTCGAAGATACAGACATTACTGAGAGACTATCTGTTCTGACATATTACCAGTCCAGAGGATATGAGAGTAGGAAGTCTGCCCTTTGCAGATTAGACTTGTCTGATATAATCTTCAATGGTTGAAGTATATTTAAATGTGAAATTGGAATCTGGAGCCATAAAGAGAACGACGCGCGAT